CTCCTAGATTAGTGACTCTTTGTTTCACTAACGGTGACAGAACGGGTAGGTCGATGCAGTGGTTGGTGATTGTGTCATTGGGAGGAAACAGCATAACTTCAGATTTCTTCTCGTTGAAACTCAAGAAATTTAAAGCCATCCAATCTCTGATGTCAGCCAGGCATTCCAGTAACGGTTAAATAGAGCGAGTACCGTTGAGTCTGAGGGGGAAGTAGATTTGGCAGTCGTCGGCGTAGAAATGAAAAGGTATGTTATGTTTCCTGAAAATAGCACCTAGTGGCAGCAGGTATAAAGAAAATAAAAGAGGACCAAGGATGGACCCTTGCGGTACCCCCCATTTAAGCGCTGCCGAACCTGAACTAAAATCTTTGATGGAGACACAAAAGGACCTGTCAGCGAGGTAAGATCTAAACCATTCGAGGGCTGACCCAGTGATGCCCACCCACTGCTCTAACCTCGCAATGAGGATCTCGTGGTCAATTGTATCAAAGGCAGATGTGAGGTCCAGTAAGAGAAGGAGCACAGAATCGCCAGCGTCTGTGAATAGGAGAATGTCGTTAAAAACCTTGAGTAGAGCAGTTTCAGTGCTGTGGAGAGGTTTAAAGCCAGACTGGAATAGCTCTAAGATGGCATTATCCTCTAGAAAGCATTTCAGCTGGGACTCCACTATTTTTTCCAGCAGTTTAGCGACAAATGGGAGTCTGGAGACAGGCCGGAAGTTGGACATGACTGAGGGGTCAAGGCTAGGTTTTTTCAGGAGAGGTTGGACAGCAGCATGTTTAAAAGTTATTGGCACCACACCTGAGGCTAAGCTGCTGTTCACAATGCCAAGAACAGGAGGGCCCAGAACAGGAAGAAGCTCCTTAAGGAGTCGAGGGGGCACAATGTCAAAAGGGGAGCCAGATGGCTTCATGCCGCACATGACCTGCTCCAGGGAAGACAGAGAGATGGGCTCGAAGTGGTCCAGAACAGCAACACAATGAGATGGGATGGACGGATCATGAGCAGGTGGAGAAATGAGTGCCCGGGTGTTTGCAACTTTTTCAGAAAAGAAATGGAGGAAGTTTTCACACAGCTCAGTTGAGGCTTCTAGAGGTGAAGGTTCACTGAGGTGTAGAACTGAGTTCAGGGTGGAAAAAAGGGCTCTGGGGTTGTGGGAGTTTGAGGCAATTATTGCAGAAAAGAACTTCGATTTGGCGGCTTTAACTGCCTTCTGATAATGACGCCAACTCTCCTTTAGGATTTGAAAAGAAACCTGCAGCCTGTCTTTCCTCCACCTGCGTTCAGCTCTCCTACACTGCTGTCTAACGGCTTGAGTGACGTCATTAAGCCATCGTTCTGATAAAAGTTTTGTTTTCCTGGTTTTAACGGGAGCAACACGGTCCAGAATATTAAAGCAAACAGAGTTAAGCTGAGAGGTTAGCTCCTCGGTGGAGAGAGACACTGAGAGCTGATCGATCCTCTCAGAGCTAAACGCTTCAGTAAAATGTGCAGCAGTGAAATGGTTAATGGCGCGTGAAGTACGTGCAGAATCACATGACTTAGCAGTAGGACAAGGCGGGATGATATCAAACAAGACAGGCATGTGGTCTGAGAGAACGTTGTCACCGATTACCAAATTACAAACAGAGACATCACGTGTTAAAATGAGATCCAGAGTGTGACCGTGTTGTTGGGTGGGAGCATTTACATGTTGAGTTAAATTAAATGAGTCCAACAAATCAAGGAAGTCCTTCACTAACGGCTTCTCCTGACAACAGACGTGAATATTAAAGTCACCAACGATAATAAAGTGATCATGTCTTGGTGTGATGTAAGCCAGAATATCAGAGAATTCACTTATGAAGTCCTTGGAACGAGGGGGGCGATAAACAATCGCACACAGAATGGGAGGGGAATGTCTGAGTTCAAAAACACTCAGCTCAAAACTGGAGCAGGGCATGAGGGTGGACAACTGTTTACAGGAAAAGTTTGATTTAAATACAGTTAATATTCCACCACCCCGCCAACCTGATGGCCGCGGGGCATTAAAACACAGACAGTCAGGAGGTAAAAGTTCCACCAAGGCGCTTGAATCACCCAAAGGCAACCAGGATTCAGTGAGAAAAAGAAAATCTAGTCCCTCGTCTTTAAAAAAGTCATTTAGAATAAAAGTCTTGTTGGCAACAGACCTTGTGTTGATGAGGCACATCCTGATCTGGTCCGACACAGAACCAGCCATGGTGGGGGTGGTGTGCGCCAACGGTTGCAGATTTTCAAAAACAGCGCCACCAGGACGGTCCAAGCGCCGGTAGACAACACCCATATTTTCCCTGGTCCGGGCACGTAAGAAGCTTGCTGTGTGTGTTGACCACACAGAGCTTTGAGTTTTACCAGCCGGTCGGCACGTTTACCCCGGCATCTGGATCGATATCTCTGAGAAGGCAGGCTTGGGGCCCAGCGTAAACAAGCAGGCACGTCTGCCAGAAGGGGTGGAAGAGGGGGGGGTCCCGAGTCACGATCAAAATGGTCCGAATCAGCGACAGCAGAAACAGACAATCGAAGATCAGGAGCTGTTGTCGGTCATACACAAGCAGCGAGTTGATATCCCAGACAAAAAAACGAAAAAAGCAGAAATAATCCAAACAGTATCGTCAGAGGTAGATTGCAGGCCATGTACACGGGCGCCATCTTACCGGAAGTCTTACCGGAAAATGTAAGCACTCCCTGCTGAAAAAGAAATCCGAACCCCTCCTAAGCATCAAACTAGTGTGAAAACCTGAAAATGGTTTAAGTCATGTAAAAAATAAAATATGTAAAAGTCACTAAAGGCCCCCACAACTGTGAAACACCACTGCATGTAGGTTATAATGAATATGTGAAATATGTCATTAAATACTGTCCCCACCCCATCTGGCTGAGTGTAGATGAGCGCTGGAATGTAACCTCAAATAAAGCATCTGGATGATTGTCAAGCGTCTTACAACAGGTTAGATATTATTATGTCAACGTGTCCATAGAACCCCACCTCTAAAGATCTGAACGGTCCCTATAACCCTGTAAAGTACATTTTATATCTGTAGAATACTCTATTGTGAGGAATATAATATATTGTCCAACGAACTACCATATTGATTATTCTATTATATCGGTCCCCGGAATGCATTTAACTATGGCCGCTGGAGTCCCTAAAGCCACGTTTGGGACTATGGAGCTGCCAATAACCAGGGTCTGTTTCTCAGCGGATGTGTCACTGAGTGAGGAAAATTGATTAGAAACGTGAATGTGTCAGTGGTGAACTGGGGGCTTAGCCTTAGCACTGTGCTTGCTCCGGTCCGTCACCCAGCCGGTCTGGGGTCCCGGCTGCTTGGGGTCTGCTGGAGGACTGCTAACGGGAGCTAGCCTCTGTGGTTCCGCGATGTCTAAGGGTACCTGGCTAGCTACTGGTTTTTCTACAGTGCGGAGATGAGCTTCCATTCAGACAGCTTCTCCTCCAAAGATACCATAAGACTACATTTGTTACATGTATCATTACCACTAAAGGAGGCAGAGGAGTAACTAAACATCTGACACATGGAGCAAGAGAAAACAGAGGAAGCAGGGAGAGAAGAGCAGCCATGTTAAGCTAACGCTAGCAAGAGCTAGCAGAGCCAAATACATAAATAAAAACCGAGAAGTGTTGAAAGATGAAAGGTGTTTTAAGCACTATCCAACAGTAGAAAAACAATTGTACTAAGTGTGTTTGTGAACTAGAATGAAAAACTGTGCAAAAGACAGATAAATCCAGAGACGACTCGAGCAAACAATTCACTCGAGCTACCAACAGACAAACAGGAAGTGACACAATACGTCTCACCACGAACGTGCAATGTCAGCCAGTATGACTTCCTGAGTGACCTTTCCCAAAATAATATCTAAAACAAGGCCTTCATATATATAAGAAAATGTGATCTTGTACTCTGCATGCAGACATGTATTCTGCATATCCCCTTACACATGTATTTTAGATCAAATTCTCAAATACCATCGGAAACAAATGGTCGACTGTCACGAACTATGGGGGAAAATCACTCCACAGTCAGCTACTACAATTTTAGCTTGTCCAATGTGTAGAAAGGGAAAAAGAAAATATTTTCTGCCTACCTTTTTCATATTACGGCACCGTTTGACTGCAGAGCAATGTTCGCCCATCCGCTGCAAAAAGGAAAACAACTACCTCCTCTCTTCCAAAAAAGTTCAATCTGGTCCTCTGGACATTCAAAAAAACAAAAG